TAAACAAATGGCTGTCATAAGTCAAATAAAAAGAAACTTGTCTTCAAGTTTCATGTGTGTGTGTTGGCTTATTATTAATTTTTTATTTTCTTCTTTTTTTTTTTTTTTATTTACCTTATGGTTTTGTTGTGCAAAAAGTTTCTATAATATAGAATGAAAATGTAAGAAATAGATGACAGGAAGAAGTTTAATGATATGAAGTCGGCCAACATGGATTGACATGTCGATTCCTTTCTCTCTCTTTTTTCCTTCTCTACTCTATGTGCATGAGACTGTGAACTATGGAAACTACTTTTTGAGTATGTCATAATTTTTACTGGAATATAAAATTTTGCTCTTCCTTCTTCTTTTTTATTCAAAAAGTTTTGTTATACATTTACTTTAACATCATTTATGCATATACACAATACTAATAATGAGGTTAAATAAATAAGACTGTATATTCGCGTTTTAGATTATGCTTTATTTTTACCATCAACAATAATATAATTAAAAAACCTTGAATGACGAATCTTTTTCATTCTCTTGGTTAGATTTATTTTTTTTCTTGATTATATCAGTAAATAACGGAAGAGAATATTGATATATTATGATTTATACATGTGAAGGCAGTGCAATAACTTATGATTAAATGGTACAAAATAACACAAACATGCACAAATTTAATCTTTTGTTTTATTTGTACACCGTTCTTATTTCATTGACTCTAATAATAGCGGATAATGAGACAATATCGTCCACTAGCGTAGCAACTTCGATATCATCGTCACTCGTTTCTACAACAGCGAGTCTAACGACTGCAAATTCAGCGAGTGCATCAGTATCCGGGACAGATCATGGTACGTCTACTACTGTGACGACTATGTCTTCGTCAAACAATACAGTTACGGACTCGTCCACCCCTACTGTATTTTCATCATCATCTCAAGAAACATCGATGAGTACCATGTCTACTACTACGTCACAGAGCATTACTCAAGGTGAGTTTCATTGAAAATTTAAAATTCTCTTCTGATCAAGGATTTATTAGATAATTGTGCCCCTTAACTTTTTTCATATGAAGTCTTGACTCTTCCTGTAGAGTTGTTACATACAAAAAGTTGTTACATTAAAAAAAAAATTTTTTTTCTATACAGCTGCCTCATGTTTCTAATTGTGTCTGTCACCAAACTCATCACATTGCATTATTATGCAGGAAAAGAAATAAATGAAAAATTTTTATAATTTTACGTGCGTTCTATAAGACGACAACTGTAGGAAAAAGGAAGTGTTTTTCACAAGATAGTACAAGTTGAGAGCTCTCTGAAACACAGTCATAACTTGGTTAGAAAGAGAGAAAAATTATAATAATTACTAAAAAGCTGTCCCATCGGTACTGTGATGTCGTACGGTCATTTCTTATTATGTAAGATGATAAAATTCTTAGTGATAAAAGATCGAAGATATACTCACTGATGAGGTATAAGTAATACGAAACATATCTGTTGCAGTAGATGTCCAGTCATGAAAAGAAATTATTTTGATTATAACACATTGTACAAATATTGGAATGTCTTGACGCTTAGCTCAGGTAACAAACTCCCGAAATACAGATTATGATGAAACTTTTAACAAACTTTTAGATCTCTTGTTCATTAAAAAAATCTAATTTTCTACGATTACATCTTATCACTATCTTTTGCCGCTTTTCCTGTTTTATTATTAGTTATGGTAAGCTTAAGCCAGACCAGAGCATCGCCCTATTGAACCTATATACATCAGTTTACGAGTCGATGTACCTGGTATAGGTCTATTACAATGTCAGACCATGTTAAAGCATTCTCTCAGAATGTCTGTTGTATTTGAAAGAATGCAACAGACATTTGTACTTTTGAAGTAATACCAATAATATTTTGGAGTAATAGTAAAACATGAAGACACCTGCAGACATCCACAGACACTTACACATACTTACAGACAGCACACAGATAGACAGACAGCATAGAGACATCTACAGACAACCAGATATAACTACACAGTCATCCACTTCTGTGTCTCTCCCATGTTCGTAGAAGTGGAAGTCTGTGTAGGTATTTTTCGTTGTCTATGGATGTATCTATACTGTCTGTGTAGCTGTCAGTGGCTATCTGTGGGTGTCTTCGTGTTTTACTATTACCCAAATATTTTGATCCCACGTAGGTATTGACTGATCAATGCCTTCGTATTTAATAAATAAAATACGTTTGTTGTGCTGTTTTTCTGAGGTGAATCCTATGAGAAGAAATTTAGAGAATGAAATCAATACAAGATCAAAAATCTCAAATATTCCACCATTTTATCTAAAAACGCTCCATTTTCGAGATAAGTCGAATTTAATGTTTTTCAGCAACGAATAAATGTAGAATATGTCTGCATTGGGAGCAAAAAGTGTAAAGAAATAATTTTGACATTATGAATACTCAGAACTTAGTTTAAATAATTTGATAATTTATTTTAAAATGGATCAAAAAATTAGTCCACAGAATCTTAACTTATCTGTGTAAGTAGTAAAAAAATAGTTTTCAATTTATTCAATTTAAGAATGACAGATCATGCAGAAAAGCATTTGCATTCTTAGGAAAAATGTAAAAAATGCTTTCACATTTATATTATAACAGGCCTAACAAAGTAGATAAAGATAAATGTTTTTCTTAATACAAGTAGATTAAGTTGCTTGTGAGTTGATATGTGCATCGAAACTCGGTACATCTAGCTAAGTAAGTTGTTTTTATTGTTATATCTAGATACTCTTGCTTAAACATTGGACGTGTTTTGCTATAACCATTTCTTAAGACTTTTCTCTAAGTAATTGTGCATATAATCTAATCTGACTAAAATCTTTATAATCAGTTTCTGGACAATTGACAAATTTTCGTCTAACAATAACGTTTTATGCAAAATATTTTCTATAGTTTCTCGGATTTTTCATCTTGTTCGAACATTGATGGACAGTATGTTTGGAGCATCATATTAGATTTAATGAGCATGTGTGTATTTTATCAACATGTGAAAAAAAAGTCCCATAAAAAAGAGTTTCTTATTCTAAAGGTTTGATCATTCGAGCAGAAATTATTCTTTTCTTAATGCTTGATTATTCATATGTATGAAAAATATTTTTCTTTACAGACGACTTTTAAAAAATTTATTTAACAACACGTTATGCTTACAAATCATCTTGATGGTCATATTTTACTTTTATTTAGGACAAAATAAGGTATATGAGTTGGATACTACTTTTTCCACCGAGGCCAGCATCAATTATGGACCAATCACAAATATAACAATACTGTCAAATATAACAAATATGGTCATTAAATATTTTTCTTTTATTGCATCCAAAATATTCAATATGTTCTTTTTCATTTCTAACAGATAGTTCAACGTTTGAATAATCCAAATGGTATTCAAGTTGAAATTGTTAATGCTTCTATAGTGAATTCGCAAGCAAAGTAAATTTTCTTTCACAATTTATTGAATTTAGAAAAAAAAAGCTAACATTATTTTTCAACAGTGTTTGGATATTTTAGAGTGTTGTCAAACTATACATTAATTATTATTTCAAAATTCATATGTAATTCGACTACCTGCCAACTATCGCTTAACACCACCAATCAACCAAATTATGTAGTCATTATTAACACAAATGGTACACTAGTGACTGTATCTTTAACAATACTGAACGTGAAAGGTAAGTTGCTTTTTAACTACTATATTTGTTTTATCTTAAACTTGCTTATTATTTCATTTAGATATCACTTCAACTACAGTGACACCAGGTATTTATTTGTAATTATTCAGTTACAATGTACACTTAATTTTTTATATTTATATTAGTTTTAGTTGGTGAAAAGCCTCCAACGAGATCTGCGCAATTAGGCATGGGTTTAGGGATATCATTTTGTGCTGTGATTATTATTGTTGAAATTATATTTCTTAATATACTTTCAGCACGTTCTACACGATGAAGAAGTTTAGCATGTACTGTGTACAATTATAATTAGTACGGTGATATTTATTTTTTTGAATTTTCATTTATTTTTGTTCGTATATGACAATAGACAAAATCATTTGTAGTTTTATTACTGTATCTCATATATTACTATTTTTTTGCTATATTTCTCTCTTTCACTTAAAATAGTCAGAAATAAATTAAGAATATAAATATGAAATGAAATATCAAACGTAAAATGGCGGGATTATATTTATGAAATTTATTTTAGAGAAATAAGCTGCATGATGGATATATTGTTTGTTAATCAAACATTGATTAAGTACCCAGATAAGCAAAAAATTACTGCAGACAGCCGTCATGACTAGTCCGAAATGTCCGTATATCTCGTCAGGACTAGTCTGGAACGTCCCTTTCGCTTGTCAAGACTAGTCCAGTTTTTAACAAATGTCCATTTAACCCATCTAGACTAGTCTGGAGTGTCTCTTCGACCCGTCATGACTAGTCTGTTTTGTCTGCTATACCTGTTTAGACTAGTCCAAAGAAAAGACAGACGACATGAATGATTGCATAGTCTTAGTTCGAATCATTACACCGTCTACACAAAGAAACTGACGCCCGGGCCAGACGGACGTCTGGTACATTGTTGTAGTCAAATACGATTGTGCCCGTCAGCAGGCACTTTCTGATTAGCCTTTTTGAAAAATAATGTACGGTAATGTATAAATAATGTATGCATAGAAGTATATGTCACATTTTGTAGAGCGCATAATTCTGTATAAGATAGAGTAATTTACGATGTTATCAATGGTAGCTTTATGAAGAAACTTAGACACCTAATGTAGCCGGTAGCAAGAAATTGGAAAAATTGTCCTAATAATTTCATATTTTCCACCGGAAAGATGTGAGTTTGAAACTGAAGCTAAGTGATATCTGGAATCCACGTGAAAACTGAATTGACCGATGCATATTGCAGGGATTTTTGAGAAAAGAAGTTTTTCGAAAACTTTCCGCTTCGTCAAACATGCAACCATGGACTAAAATTTAAAAAAAAAGTTTTTTCCTCAAAACTATTTATTCGGAAGTTATGATAAGGTTTCAACGAAGACCTAAATTTTTCAGAGAAATATTCTTTATGTATACCAAAATCTAGCATGCAGAAACTGATAGATAAGCTGATGGTGCAATGGCTCAGTTGGCTCAATCGTAGGTATGTAAAACAAAGTGTTGCATGTTCGCTTCTAACCTATTTCTCTATCTTTCTTTCATTTAAACTAGTCCAGACGACGTCAGTATATAGCTTGTCAGACTAGACAGCGGCACCAGTACGGACAGTTTTCTTTTAATTAACGATTAAAATTCTGGACTAGTCATGACGGGACCGTTTTTGTCGTAAAGACTAGTCGGGACGTGTTAGCTGACTTCAGTCCGCCGTACAGTCTAGATGCGTATGGTGACAGTTAAAATTTCGGACTAGTTATGACGGGGTCGTTTGTGTTATTAAGACTAGTGGAGACGGTCGTCCGAACTAGGAAAAAAGATTAGTCATTTCACCCATCTTTTGCTTACCTGGGTACTGGTTCAATAGCATCTACAGATAAGAGTCATGATGCTTCGCATTGTTGGATTATCTTGTCTTCATAAATCCAGTTTCATAAATTACACATTTATGAAACTTGTAAAAAGTTTCATAGAATTTTTCATTTGTAGGTAACTTCTGGGTTAAAAAATTCAACATTCAAGTTTCCTAAATTTTATGAAACTTCGAAACAAGTTTCATAAATTCATAAATATGTGATTTATGTTGCTTCAGGTTCAATTAATTAGTTTCGTAATTAGTTGTGGTGTTAATATGTCACATAAAGACATATAACATTATGTAACAATATCTCACTAAGATAGTGTGAGTTACTTCCGAGAAACACTATTCTACTGTAGCACTCCTTCTTCAATCATTCATACATCGATCGATCGAGGATATCGAGATAGTAAAAAGTCTAAAAGGGTTCGTGCCAATGACTCTTGAAGACCGAGTTTTCTGGAAAACCTGTTCTTCAGAAAGTCTGAAAAATAATCAAAACCGAAATTCTTTGCAAAGTTATAGAATTTACAATAAAAGCCCAATTTACAATAAATGACAGAATGTGAAAGATGACTATTTTATTTCTTTGCTTTTTGCATGAACTATAGCCTACTTCATCGGAGAAAGTTAAATCTACTGTCTTCCCATACCATTCTTTCCTCGGTTAGTTAAACCAAGTTTTAGAAATGTTCACACGATCTAAAAATGTTCAATAACGGTTAAGGATTGAGGAACATCTTCTTTGGGAAAGCCATGTGTCTTTTTTGGATAGCTGAGTGTACTTGCTTGATTATGTTTAACAAACATAATAAAGCACTTGAGGTAAACAACTTGAAGTATTAATAATACTTCAGGTTTTGTCATTTGCTGATCTCTCATAATTCACTCGTCACATGTAAATAAGAATTTAGTATGATGGGCTACTTGATGTCTGGTTGGCTGGCTCTGTCAACTGAGAGTATTGGGTTATAGAAATTCGGTTAAATAGCCAAGCTGGCAAGTTCCCAAACTGAATTGTTAGATTAGTATAACAAACTGAGTGTCGAAAAAAGAAATAGAGTTGCTTCTTTTTTATTTACAACTGATCTAAATCGGATGCACAACCGAGGCTCGGTTACCGAGCACAATGACCCCAAGTGTGTAACGAAATATGACCTATCATTCCACTAGCTAATCACTTCCACTCTCTTCCAACCATAATTCATCTCTCTCTCATTGTGTATCGTTTCATTCACTCCCTTTTAGTATGTATTCAATGTCGCTCTCTACAGTTAATAACAATATCGGACGTTTTGTACCATTATTGTAAGCATATACTGGTATTATTCGAAGCTCCTTTTTTCCCTGCTTTTGTACCACGCAGAGCTGGACAAGTCAGGATTTTTGCAAGTCTCAGTCAACCAAAAGATTCTTCAAGTCAGTCAAGTCTGACTTGACTTGGAATAGAGGCGTTTTTGTCTTGACTTGCCCAGCTCTGCATGGACAACGACTCTACTTAGATCTTTAATATCATTTCTCTGTATTAAAAGTATGCACTTTTAAAATCACTTAAAAGACAGACAAAATTAGTAGTCGGTCAAAAGATCGGTAAAATCTTTTCCCAAGTCAAGTCTGACTTGACTTGCCCAGCTCCGGTACCACGTTCATTGAAGCCTAAGAAAATACACGTATCAATTTTACATAAATAATTCCAATTAAATATTGAATTTTTCTGCATGGATTGTAGAGATTAAATGGAAAAATCTGTCTGTAATATACTTGCGGTTACTATCGATATACAGTCTGCAAGGGAGAGCTTTACAAAACTACATCAAATCGGCTAGCTAAGAACCATAATTACAAAAGGTCTGATTGAGGAAATTGAGAGGTAGCCGAAATATGATCATCAAGTTTGTACGAAACCTCTTTTGATAGGGTTTAATACGTAACCGGTCATACGAAACCTTTCTTGTCAATAAAAAAATGGAGATTTCATAGCTGAACGTCGGAATCAAGGTTCGTACGAGTTGACAATGAACATTTAAGGCTTTTGTTGAAAATTCTATAACTTTGCAAAGAAAAGTCGTGTAGAGCTGCGAGATGTCTCATTTTAATCAGAAATTTGCGGACTACAATCATGTGTCACTAACAAAAGGTTTTGATTATGTTTCAGAGTTTCTGAAAAACTCGGTCTTCAAGAGTCATTGGCACGAACCTTTTTAGGCTTTTTACTATCCCGATACCCTCTATCGATCGATGTATGAATGTTAGAAAAAGGAGTGTTACAGTAGAATAGTGTTCCTCGTTACAGACATAGGCTGATTCAAATAAAAATACGAAGTTTTATTCTAAAAGTGTATATACAAGTCTCTAAGTAAGATTAACAAAAATAGGTCTCTAAGAGGCATGTGCTAATTAATTAAGAAAATATTTCTGTGAAAGCCATATTAAACTTTTTATGAAATTTGTAAAAAGTTTCATAAAATTTTTCATTTTTATGTAAGTTATGGGTTAATAAATTCAACATTCAAGTTTCCTAAATCAATAACATTATTAGTATTCAAGGGCAACAATATAAATATGAAGTTTAGTGCAATTGCGGCTGAAACACCCTTAACTTTGTTTAACATGATTAAGAGTTTATTAATAAAAATATTTATTAAAACACGA